TTTACCCTGCGTGACCTTTTCTGCGGCTGGGTATCCAGCTGGTCCTGTGCAGGAGTCGTACTCTTTGATCAGAGCATCACACAGAAGTTTGTAATCCCTTCTCGTTGCATCAGGTAGACGCTCGATGAAGGTAAACACCTCTCTGTCTGACGTGAGTCGTATCAGACTGATCTTATCTTCTACCGTAGCATTAGGATAAGATGTCAATCTGAAATCCAGATCTCTGAGGTACGCTTTTGTTCCAGATGAGCCCAACGGTCCAGGAACGAAGCGTTGTACATATTTTGAGATTTTTTGCAAATCATCCATTAATGGAGAAGATATCAATGGTCTCACATGCGTGATTGGTGCAGATTGGTCAAGGCCTGCCCCTACCGCCCATAATGGGGGTGGGGGTGGCTGATAAGGAGGAAGAGGTACATATCGGTGCAGGTCTGTCCCTACCACCCGTGATGGTGGTGGTGGGGGTGGGGGCATGGTGTCAGGAGGAAGAGGTACATATTGGTGCAGTTCTGTCCCTACCGCCCATAATGGGGGTGGGGGTAACGGCGTGGTGTCAGGAGGAAGAGGTGCAACAGCATCTGTCTGGGGAGGTTGTGGCTGACCCGGACCCTGATACTGTTCGTCTCTGAGTCTCAGGCCAGCTGGTCCTGTTCCAGAAATCTGGTTTGTAGCTGTAGCTAATTTCTCCTGACAAGCTGTCAGGTGCTCCTGTGTTGTCCAAGAAGGGGTCTCTGCAGGCAAATTCGGAAGGCGTATCTGGGCGCTCATATCTGATTGGACTATAGGAAAGTGGGCGTATCTGGGCGGTCATATCTGATTGAACGATAGGAAAATGGGCGTTTCTGGCCGGCCGGATCTGATTGGACGATAGAAAAATGGGCGTGTCTTGACGGCCACATCTGATTGGACGATAGAAAAATGGGCGTGTCTGGACGGCCACATCTGATTGGACGATAGAAAAAAAAAGGCTGAACGATAGAAAAAAAAGGCTGAACGATAAAATGCCGTAACCACAGACACACGATGTCTCAAAACAAGGCGTTATTGGCAGATTGTGTTAACCACAGGCATATTATGTCTATGGTGTTAACCGGTTCGACATTAGCGGCGTCTCTGTTCGACATTGCTCCAGTATACTGCCGCGGCGTCTCTATAACTTCTTTTTTCGACTCTCTTAACACAGAACTTCCGGTTACATTTCAAAATAAGAGCAACATAACTGGGTAGTGGGGAGAGCTAAATGTTAGTTTTTTTTTTAATACCTAGCCATAACATTAAAAAAACAAATTCCATTTTGGTTGTTGAAAAATGTGAACAAAGTTACAATCGATTCATAAAGAAAGAAAAATATTAACGATACTTAAACTGGCCTTGGGACAAAGGAGGTTTCCTTTAACTTCACATTTTCTTGTTCAACCTGCAGTCACTGCAGATGAGTGATTGTCAGTTTCTGTAAGATTTCTGCAACTGGAGCAGGTATTTCTGTTTACTGGTTAACTTCCTCAGCTGTCTCACATTTTAAAGGTCAACCCTACTCCATGTTTCAGTAGAAAACCAGCACATTTAGGAGTCAGTACATAACCAGACTTTTGGCCCTCACACCTGTACCCAGTTGCTCATGCTGCATGATGAGATCAGATTGATCCATATTTTAGAAATTACATTTAGCTTAGTCGACAAAACAATACAAATGAAGACCGTCTTAAAAACCCTCTTGGTTTTGCAGTAAGCAGCCTGACTTCAAACTGACATCTTGGCCAAAGGTACAATAAAAATCTTTGTGTTCTCAGAAAAGTTGTTTCAGGACCTCCAATAAACTTATGTACACATCAAAGCACACAAGACAGATTCAGGAATTCTCTTTGTTTTCCAGATTTCACATTTTTTTATTACCTTCAAACATACTCAAACAACATTTGATGCATCATTGAATTTTTTTTATTGTGTTTATTGGGACATCCATTTTTAGAAGTCATCGTAGCATCTGTTGGAAACACAGAACATAGTACAGTTAGAGTGTTGCTAGTTGTTACTTAATCCTGGATTGGATTTTAAAGTTAATTTTGATATTTTTTTCACAAGGAAAAAAAAAGTTGATTTCCTAAAGTTTAACTATAAATGAAGGAATTTGTGCATTCAGGTAATTGAAAATTAAGTAATTTCTCTAACATCCAACCCTTTTTAGCCACTGAGCCATACCAAACACCCATAATCTATTCTTGAATGAATTATTGACTATTATTGACAAATTACAGACTTTTTATTGAATAAGTTATTACTCATTATTGAATCATTGACAATTTACACTCATGTTTGTGTTAACTCATGTTGCAACAAGGTCAGCAACTTTTGACTATTACTATGAACTATGTTAAACTTTGGAGGTGATTTATTTTGAGAGTCAACATCAGATGTTGGTCAACATTGTTGGGCAACATCTTGGGGTCTTCTAGAGTCAGTCTGAAGTGAGAGTGGTTCCTGACATGGCAGAAAGACATAGATATAATTAACAGCTTTTATTTATTTATTTTTCAGCTAATAACAACTATTATTTATTTGTTTTTCATATTTTTCAGTTATACTCAGCTTTTAAATATTTATTTTTCAAGTATTAAGAACTTTTATTTTCAGCTTTTATTTTGAAAAGCAACACCCAGTTGTTGTTGTAAACGTGCACGTGTAAACCAGTGAGAGCTGCTGGAGCAGGGTGGAGGCTCACGTTACCTCAGTGCGTTAC